GAAGCCCCAGCTCAACATTCCAGCTGTGCTATCTGTAAGCTTCAACTCGGGCGATGTCGGGCCGTAACTATCGTCATCACTTGGCAGATAGTCGGCTCGGGGTCTTGAGCGACGTTCATAGCCAGCCCCCCGGCCCCGTAGCTTGCAAAGGTATTTCCACGCGCTGAGACGCGTGTGACCTTATATAGCCACCCTGCACCAAAAAACAGCTGTGCGACTACATGGCCGCAAACGGCAACAGATGCCACCATGCCAGGAAAGCTGAAGCCCCACAAGAAGAGGTCCCAAAATTGGGATTCACATTCTGGGCAGGAAGTGGCCCAGCACCACGTGCCAACGCAGGGTAAGCCAGCAGCCTCTACTGGGCATCCGTGAAGCTAAGCCCCAACCCCACGCCTGTAGACCACCGCATGGCATCAGGCACTCTGCTTGGTCGCTTGGCCGTTTCAACCTTTGGTGCCAAGTGAGACGCATGCTGCGCACTAGAAGCCACAAGTGGAAACCAGCTTTCCCTCGCAGTCCAAGCGTCGATGCAGTTTGCATCATCACCAAGCCTACCATTGCCATTCGGCATTCGAAGACATCTTGCTTCACTACCACATTCCCTCTTAACGGAGGGCCTCGTCTTGGGGTCGTCAGTTCGGAGCCCGGCCTGAGCTCAACAGGGCCCGCTCGCGCTTCGGATATCTGACGCATAGCCTTGAACCCAAGCTGGCCTTCCGCTGGGAAGGTTGGCGTCTGAGTCCTCCAAGTATCTTTCAGGGTTCATGGCTGCCGCATCCTACCAAGTGGCGCAGTTCTTTGCCAGACCTAATGTAAAACCGTGTCTGCGTGCAGAAGCCCTGTTCTGCAACCGAAAAGACTCGCCAAAAAAGTTTGAGAACATCTCCAAAGGCCTGGCCTGGCACAGCCCCAAATGACCCGAACCCTCCCTGCTTTGCGGACTGTCGCCTCCTCGCCGCCAGCTGCACTCTGCAACGGCCTGAACAACTCAATTCCCACCCAGACTGATAGAAGGATTGCTGAGCTTCTCTCCGAGGTATTTGGTAGTTAATTAAGTGGCCATGCATGCATCCTTCTTCATGCACAAGCGTGGTCTCAATGCCCTTTCAAAGACCACTCAATGCAGCACAGGGACAGGCACAGCGGCTTCTGACAAGGAGGTTGAAAGTCCACCTTCGTTTCGCAGCAGCACAGAATGAAAGAGATACGCTTGTTGCATGATGCTCAGGCACCAGTGTTGGTTCTGCGCAGTTGCGAGGAGGGTAGGACACCCTGAAGCTCACGGTCACAACTCACAAGGGTAGCCAATCACTGCAGACATTTTTGATTCTCTGGTGCCTCGGTGCCGAGACGGGCAGGCACGCCTATCCCGCTCAGGTGTTTGCAGTGAGGTTGTGTTAACCAGGACTGAGCTCGCGTAACACTAATCACTGCACACAAGGGGCCAAGCAAGACTCGAAAGAATGTGCAAGAAACCTTAAGAATGTCCTTGCAAGAAGTCGGCACATTCCGCTGCGCCGCCTCTTTGACGATCCTTGCGAACGCCGTGCCATAGGGGCAAACCTGGCCAACATCAGTGCACAGAGATTTCTCAGCAGACTCCTTTGAAACATGAAGCCTCTCTTCAAGCACCACGTCACAAGCTGCTCGCGTCTCAATGCAGGAACGCTGTCTTTGTGCTCAGCACGCTGAAGCATCAAGCAGGATGTCTGACATGCCGCTCGAAGCCTCTTGTGCTCCCCACAGCCATTGGAAACAATCCATGTTACCAAAGGTGGCAGAAGCCTTACTGCAGTAGAAGCTGCCAAGTAAGGTCCCTGTACCTGCGAAGTGCACACTCCTGTAATTGTATCCAATGCTGCTGTCCATAAGGCTTGATGGCTTCCTGCATCCGATGCATCTTTCGCAAAGCACTCCGAAGTTACAACTTCAAACTTTAGGGGCATGCTTGCGACGATGCAGCCGACACAGAATGCAGCAATGTGCATCACAGACTCATCAAATCTCACCAGAGGGGGCACGCTTTACAAGGCTGCTCGGAGACGAGATTTTTGCCACTCGCAATGAATGTCTGGGTGCGACAACTGTATCTTCCTCTTGGATGCCCTGCAGGTTTGGTCTGTTCACTGTCGCCTGTGAGACAGCCGTGCATATTCCCTCAGGCTTGCATGCAAGATGCAAGGACTGGCAAACACTTAGGCAAACTATGGCAAACTATATCAATCATCTTGAAACCAAAAAATCTGACAGTCCTCTTGTGCGTCAATTTCACACGCCATGGCGGTGCGAGCGACGTTGTGGGCCAGCACCGTATGGTAGAAGGCGTCCAGTGCTGTGTCGATTTCGTCCAGCAAGTAGAAGGGACCACGCGCAAGCTTTTGGATGGCAAACACCAAGCTCAAGGCCACCACTGTCCTCTGGCTTTTGGAAAGTTGATGAGTGGACCGCCTGGGCAGCGATGGACATGTCGATGTGCTCACCCAGCACATCTCCGAGGCCCACAAGTCCAGGGGCCATCTCGCTGAATACCCGCTGGAAGTTGGCATGCACTTTGCGCAGCATCTGATACACGATATTTGCCTTTTGCGTGATGGCCCTTGCAGCTGCAACCTGACCCTCTTCGAACTGCTGCTTGCGCTTTTTCAGGCTCATGAGCTCTGAGAAAACTCTGCGGCTTTCTTGCTTCAACATCCAGGCGGCCTCTGACAATTTTGCCTCCACCTCTGCCCCCTTGCGGCTCTCCAGGCGAGTGGAACCCTGTGATGCCTTGTTCTTGGTGCACTGCTCCTCTGCTGCCAGATGCTCGGGGAGAATCTGCAACTCCTCGCTCTTCATGGCCGACACACTCACAGCTCCGCAGCGCTCCTTCTGTGTCCGGCCCTCGTTTTGCTGCGAAACCGATGTGCTCACGACCTCCGGCGCCAGCAAGTGCAAACAGGTTTCCGTACGAGCATTCTGGCATGACAGGCACGTGTGTTGCTGGAATCACTGGCGGAAACGGTGGAAACACCATGTGCCCAACACAAGTCGTTTTCAGACGCGTTGAAGCTGCGTTTATCAAGAGTTGGTTCATACTCGACATGCACTGTATTCTATAAAGCATGTGTGACACGGCGATGTGGTGAGTCAACTTGTGCCTGCAGCAGTTCTGCCTTCTCTGCATGTTGCGCGTTCAAAGCCATGTTGTTGAAATGATTCCAAACACTGACAACAATCTGGCGTTCTTCAGGCCCCTATCTAATCACTGAAAAGGCGGAAGCATCCTGAATCAGAGCTCTTGAAATTTGGCCCCTCGCGAGCCTTACAACGGGTTTGTGAATCAAACTGCAACGCCACAGTTCACCAAAGGGCTTCAACAGCATTGACCCATCGCCCTGCTGGCTTTCGCTAGCTGGCCGGTTTCAGTACAATATACCCCGAGTACCCCCCGTTGATCTTCGGAGCCTCCCAGCATACCGAGCGGTGATCTTGGAGCGTGGTTAAGCAACTGTGCAAAGGGCTCGGGTCAAGCCCGTCTGCGCCAACGTTGTGAAACATATTTAACTCCGCGAAGCTTGCAACAAAGCTTTAGAACCACCAAGCAGTCGACACACGGACGCTGCAACAACAAACAGTCTTGCCGAAGCTCCTGGGAGTCTGGCGAGGCTCCAGCTTGATAAGTTACGTAGGGCTGATTTTATATTGGGATGTCGCAAAATCATTTTCGGCAAATCGGAATGTAATGGAAAACAGTCCAGTTGCAATCGACTTGGGCCATTGAGAATAGGATCGAAACATATCAAACCGATCGTGAGGAAAACCGACAGACATCAGCACAACAACTCAGAACCCGGCTTTAAAGCACGGTGCACGTGCAGACACAGTCTCTTGCCGCTCTTGCCTGCCGCATGCGCGAATGCTGTACGATACTGACTCCATGTCCGCCCTTGGTCGGTGTTTGGGACTGCAAACAGCACACGATCCACCTTCGTGGTTGCCTGAACGGTGTAGCCGACCAGTGGGGTGTCCTGGGACATAGCAGTGATGCCAGAATGCCACTGCAGCAACAGCAAATTAAGGCCCGCGCCCCGATGAGCGCCGTCTCGCCGCCGTAAGACATCGGTGCGAACTGAACCTGTGTGGAATAAACTCAGCTTGTGACCCTCCGAAGCAGACATGTCCCCAAAAAGGCCTCCACCATCCATGAATTTTCGTCCACGGCCAAGATGCAAGCCTGCTGTAATGAAGCGTGGTGGCCGTTGAAGTAGGTTGAACACTCTAAACGCTCTGACAGATGACGACTCGCGACCTCGATGGAAAAGATTCCTTGCCCTTGTGGAGTGTGGAATAGCACCGGAGCCTCCCGGCCTTGCCTCAGTATGGTCGCGCACGCTTAATTGCTTGCACCTGCTGCGAGTCATCAGCTCGGGACCTCAGTGCAGCCAGGCAGCACCGACACCCAACGTCGCGTTGGCACGAAGCAGCCATCGGTGTACCTACCGAGTGCGTTGGACCCACTCCCGTTGACGAACACGACGAGTCAATTTGTGTCCGCATTTGTGCGGGCACTCGGCCACCAAGACAATGGCCGATGAGCCCATTGCCTAGAAAATCTCGGTCCGCAAACCAAAGCTCAAATCTGTGCAAGTCTATGAGGGTCCGGCCGCCTGTCAGCACGCATTCCCCCGAAGCCCGTGCTTGCTCCAGGCAAATGCAGACGGCAAGGAGCAGAGCTTGCTTCAGAACAAATGTTTCAACGGCAAAAATGGTGCGACGCCTTGCGTGGGCTGGTCAGAAAAGCAGTATAGCGGGGTGTCGCAGTCGCTTCAATCCCACACGCTCACATTCGCTAGCTCACAAGAACAAGCTAGATCAAAGAACTGAAGCCCATGCAAGTTACAGTCTGTGGGTCGTAAACACCACCCACAAGACTCCATCTGAAATCCTGATTATGTTCGCACTTCTTCTTCGCTTTGACAGCTCACAACTCCGCGGGCAGATGCAGCACGGGTTTTGTATCATGTTTGCGAATCACGTTGCGAGGCAAAGCAAAGGCCGCACACGTGCAGCCACAAGTCATGCAAAAGTTCACGGCCAGCCGACTGATACTGTGGCAAAGCCCGTAGTTTTGCCACGTCTGCAACAGCGGACAGCAAGAGGCTGGATGCCCTGGGGGTCGCAAGGACAGCCTGCATCGCTGGCAAGAGATCCGGCAGCATCTCATCATGCAGCCAGTATTTCATCAGCACGTAGACTTCCACCAGCTGTTCGGTCTCCAACATGGAGACCATGTAGAGGATCCGTCTGAGCCCGACCTTTCGACGCTCCCTAATGTCAGCGACCACCCCGGCAATGAGCATTCGTTTCACACTGCACGAGGAGCAGCGGAAGCACAACCAAACAGCCTGGTACGCAGCTTCGCATACCTGAGCATTCTCGTCGTGGCACTGTCCCTGCAATCGAGCCAGGAGATGGCGGACACGCGTCTGGTCAAGAAAGCTGGTTCCGCTTTCGTAGGCCATTTGGCGATGGCACCAGGCCTGACCTCATGTGACGCAGACTCTGCCGCAGATACCCCAAAGACTAACAAAAACTGACGGAGTCTTGCAGGCGAGCGTCTGTCCAAGATCTTCTTGGTCTCTGCGCCCACACCGTCTTGTGAAGTAATGTCCGGAGACTGGAACGGAGACGGGCACAGGATCTCTCTCATCTTCTTCGAGGCGCACTTGTCAACGATGGTGGCAGGGTCATGGCCGGCCACCAGAGCAAGCCTGTGTGCACACTTCAACTCGCGACCCACTCGGCCATGCACAAATAAATGCGTAGAAGTGGCTTCTCAAAGGCAGTCTGGGTGAGATGTTGGACCACAGCCTGGTCATGGGCTCAAGGCGCAAGGCAGCTCTGCTGTGACGCCTGGTTCGACATGGCCTCAGATATTCTGTTGGCCTTGGTCCGAAATGACGTCTGCATCAACATCACCAACTCCTGTACCTATCCACTCTCAGGGCTGATGTCGAGAGTGTCACTTTGCAACTTCGTACAAGGCATGTGAGTTTCATACACTGGAACCCGGCCTCCAGTAAGTCATACAGAGCTGGCCTAAGCTGCATTTGTGTGCGTACGTGCTGAACATGGTTCGGCCGATTCAGAGCACCGCCGCAGATCTGGGCCAAGTAGCAGCGGCAGGCTGATCAGGACCGGGTCTTCCGGTCCCTCTACCTCGCGAAACAGGCGAAGCAGCGAACAACGGAAACCTGAGAAAACGGTAACGGAGGCCTCTGCGCTGCCGCCGTCGCTCAAGAACGATCCGAACCAGCTCGCCAAAGAAGTCAGAGCAGGAACTGGGGAAGCGGCCTGCCTCGGATCTGGGCCCCTCCGAGCATCCAGTTGAGGTGGTCAAGATCGGCCAAGCAGCAATAGGATCGAAACGTCCCAGGCCATGGCGACCGTGTGCACGTCCGTGTCATCTCCCAAATCATCATGTTCGGACCTTTCAGCAAGTTGACAAATGCTCGGAAAGAGCAAACTCTCGTTGGGGTCGCTGGGCTCGTTGGACTCATGACCCTTGGGAACTCCAGCGCTCTTCTGACACCGTGGCCAATGTTGCGAGGTCTCATGCGGAGTCACTACACATCTTTTACTTATGCAATGTGATGCCCTGAGCACCGGACGTCGATTGCACGTCCGATACGTCTCCATCAACCTCCAACCGTGAGTCCTCTGCATCCAGCTCATCCGCCTCTGGGGACCCTTCCGAGGTATCAGCAACGGCGGCATTCTGTGGCCTTAGTGCGGAATAAAGACTTCCTGCAGCTGCACTTTGGGGTAACACTACAGTGAGGTCGTATTGGAAGGGAGAGACATTCGCAAGCGAGAAGATCGACCTGACTGTTGTGTTGTTGTAGGAAAGCGTCGTTGCGGCCATTGCGAAAGCCGCCTCCAGTGTCTGCAGAGCATGGTCAGCATCCATACCGTGTTCCTGTCCATCATCCAGGTCACTCTCCTGGACAAGACAAGCGCAGATAGGCACCTGATGGCACTGGTGTGCGTCCAGAGTCCTGCGAGTTCGTGGATGGCGTGTTTGTACTCAGGCTCGGCCTCCCAGAAGACGACGACATCCTTATCAGAGCTGGCAGCTTCCACAAGAAGACGACTTGAGCATGTTTCTGACCTGAACCCACAGGTAACCATAAGGCACAGTATTTGAAAAACAAACAGCTCCTTTCCACTGGATGCAAGTGACTGGAAGGTTATGTCGGTGCCGCAAGCGCCCTCGGCATCCTCAATCAATGACGGAATTTCTCCAGCTATCATGAAGCCGGCAACAAATCTTATCTCATCTGTAGCCGTACTGAAGCCCCAGCTCAACATTCCAGCTGTGCTATCTGTAAGCTTCAACTCGGGCGATGTCGGGCCGTAACTATCGTCATCACTTGGCAGATAGTCGGCTCGGGGTCTTGAGCGACGTTCATAGCCAGCCCCCCGGCCCCGTAGCTTGCAAAGGTATTTCCACGCGCTGAGACGCGTGTGACCTTATATAGCCACCCTGCACCAAAAAACAGCTGTGCGACTACATGGCCGCAAACGGCAACAGATGCCACCATGCCAGGAAAGCTGAAGCCCCACAAGAAGAGGTCCCAAAATTGGGATTCACATCAGGAAGTGGCCCAGCACCACGTGCCAACGCAGGGTAAGCCAGCAGCCTCTACTGGGCATCCGTGAAGCTAAGCCCCAACCCCACGCCTGTAGACCACCGCATGGCATCAGGCACTCTGCTTGGTCGCTTGGCCGTTTCAACCTTTGGTGCCAAGTGAGACGCATGCTGCGCACTAGAAGCCACAAGTGGAAACCAGCTTTCCCTCGCAGTCCAAGCGTCGATGCAGTTTGCATCATCACCAAGCCTACCATTGCCATTCGGCATTCGAAGACATCTTGCTTCACTACCACATTCCCTCTTAACGGAGGGCCTCGTCTTGGGGTCGTCAGTTCGGAGCCCGGCCTGAGCTCAACAGGCCCCCGCTCGCGCTTCGGATATCTGACGCATAGCCTTGAACCCAAGCTGGCCTTCCGCTGGGAAGGTTGGCGTCTGAGTCCTCCAAGTATCTTTCAGGGTTCATGGCTGCCGCATCCTACCAAGTGGCGCAGTTCTTTGCCAGACCTAATGTAAAACCGTGTCTGCGTGCAGAAGCCCAAAAAGTTTGAGAACATCTCCAAAGGCCTGGCCTGGCACAGCCCCAAATGACCCGAACCCTCCCTGCTTTGCGGACTGTCGCCTCCTCGCCGCCAGCTGCACTCTGCAACGGCCTGAACAACTCAATTCCCACCCAGACTGATAGAAGGATTGCTGAGCTTCTCTCCGAGGTATTTGGTAGTTAAGTGGCCATGCATGCATCCTTCTTCATGCACAAGCGTGGTCTCAATGCCCTTTCAAAGACCACTCAATGCAGCACAGGGACAGGCACAGCGGCTTCTGACAAGGAGGTTGAAAGTCCACCTTCGTTTCGCAGCAGCACAGAATGAAAGAGATACGCTTGTTGCATGATGCTCAGGCACCAGTGTTGGTTCTGCGCAGTTGCGAGGAGGGTAGGACACCCTGAAGCTCACGGTCACAACTCACAAGGGTAGATATCACTGCACACATTTTTGACTCTCTGGTGCCTCGGTGCCGAGACGGGCAGGCACGCCTATCCCGCTCAGGTGTTTGCAGTGAGGTTGTGTTAACCAGGACTGAGCTCGCGTAACACTAATCACTGCACACAAGGGGCCAAGCAAGACTCGAAAGAATGTGCAAGAAACCTTAAGAATGTCCTTGCAAGAAGTCGGCACATTCCGCTGCGCCGCCTCTTTGACGATCCTTGCGAACGCCGTGCCATAGGGGCAAACCTGGCCAACATCAGTGCACAGAGATTTCTCAGCAGACTCCTTTGAAACATGAAGCCTCTCTTCAAGCACCACGTCACAAGCTGCTCGCGTCTCAATGCAGGAACGCTGTCTTTGTGCTCAGCACGCTGAAGCATCAAGCAGGATGTCTGACATGCCGCTCGAAGCCTCTTGTGCTCCCCACAGCCATTGGAAACAATCCATGTTACCAAAGGTGGCAGAAGCCTTACTGCAGTAGAAGCTGCCAAGTAAGGTCCCTGTACCTGCGAAGTGCACACTCCTGTAATTGTATCCAATGCTGCTGTCCATAAGGCTTGATGGCTTCCTGCATCCGATGCATCTTTCGCAAAGCAATCCGAAGTTACAACTTCAAACTTTAGGGGCATGCTTGCGACGATGCAGCCGACACAGAATGCAGCAATGTGCATCACAGACTCATCAAATCTCACCAGAGGGGGCCGCTTTACAAGGCTGCTCGGAGACGAGATTTTTGCCACTCGCAATGAATGTCTGGGTGCGACAACTGTATCTTCCTCTTGGATGCCCTGCAGGTTTGGTCTGTTCACTGTCGCCTGTGAGACAGCCGTGCATATTCCCTCAGGCTTGCATGCAAGATGCAAGGACTGGCAAACACTTAGGCAAACAATGGCAAACTATATCAATCATCTTGAAACCAAAAAATCTGACAGTCCTCTTGTGCGTCAATTTCACACGCCATGGCGGTGCGAGCGACGTTGTGGGCCAGCACCGTATGGTAGAAGGCGTCCAGTGCTGTGTCGATTTCGTCCAGCAAGTAGAAGGGACCACGCGAAAGCTTTTGGATGGCAAACACCAAGCTCAAGGCCACCACTGTCCTCTGGCTTTTGGAAAGTTGATGAGTGGACCGCCTGGGCAGCGATGGACATGTCGATGTGCTCACCCAGCACATCTCCGAGGCCCACAAGTCCAGGGGCCATCTCGCTGAATACCCGCTGGAAGTTGGCATGCACTTTGCGCAGCATCTGATACACGATATTTGCCTTTTGCGTGATGGCCCTTGCAGCTGCAACCTGACCCTCTTCGAACTGCTGCTTGCGCTTTTTCAGGCTCATGAGCTCTGAGAAAACTCTGCGGCTTTCTTGCTTCAACATCCAGGCGGCCTCTGACAATTTTGCCTCCACCTCTGCCCCCTTGCGGCTCTCCAGGCGAGTGGAACCCTGTGATGCCTTGTTCTTGGTGCACTGCTCCTCTGCTGCCAGATGCTCGGGGAGAATCTGCAACTCCTCGCTCTTCATGGCCGACACACTCACAGCTCCGCAGCGCTCCTTCTGTGTCCGGCCCTCGTTTTGCTGCGAAACCGATGTGCTCACGACCTCCGGCGCCAGCAAGTGCAAGCAGGTTTCCGTACGAGCATTCTGGCATGACAGGCACGTGTGTTGCTGGAATCACTGGCGGAAACGGTGGAAACACCATGTGCCCAACACAAGTCGTTTTCAGACGCGTTGAAGCTGCGTTTATCAAGAGTTGGTTCATACTCGACATGCACTGTATTCTATAAAGCATGTGTGACACGGCGATGTGGTGAGTCAACTTGTGCCTGCAGCAGTTCTGCCTTCTCTGCATGTTGCGCGTTCAAAGCCATGTTGTTGAAATGATTCCAAACACTGACAACAATCTGGCGTTCTTCAGGCCCCTATCTAATCACTGAAAAGGCGGAAGCATCCTGAATCAGAGCTCTTGAAATTTGGCCCCTCGCGAGCCTTACAACGGGTTTGTGAATCAAACTGCAACGCCACAGTTCACCAAAGGGCTTCAACAGCATTGACCCATCGCCCTGCTGGCTTTCGCTAGCTGGCCGGTTTCAGTACAATATACCCCGAGTACCCCCCGTTGATCTTCGGAGCCTCCCAGCATACCGAGCGGTGATCTTGGAGCGTGGTTAAGCAACTGTGCAAAGGGCTCGGGTCAAGCCCGTCTGCGCCAACGTTGTGAAACATATTTAACTCCGCGAAGCTTGCAACAAAGCTTTAGAACCACCAAGCAGTCGACACACGGACGCTGCAACAACAAACAGTCTTGCCGAAGCTCCTGGGAGTCTGGCGAGGCTCCAGCTTGATAAGTTTCGTAGGGCTGATTTTATATTGGGATGTCGCAAAATCATTTTCGGCAAATCGGAATGTAATGGAAAACAGTCCAGTTGCAATCGACTTGGGCCATTGAGAATAGGATCGAAACATATCAAACCGATCGTGAGGAAAACCGACAGACATCAGCACAACAACTCAGAACCCGGCTTTAAAGCACGGTGCACGTGCAGACACAGTCTCTTGCCGCTCTTGCCTGCCGCATGCGCGAATGCTGTACGATACTGACTCCATGTCCGCCCTTGGTCGGTGTTTGGGACTGCAAACAGCACACGATCCACCTTCGTGGTTGCCTGAACGGTGTAGCCGACCAGTGGGGTGTCCTGGGACATAGCAGTGATGCCAGAATGCCACTGCAGCAACAGCAAATTAAGGCCCGCGCCCCGATGAGCGCCGTCTCGCCGCCGTAAGACATCGGTGCGAACTGAACCTGTGTGGAATAAACTCAGCTTTTGACCCTCCGAAGCAGACATGTCCCCAAAAAGGCCTCCACCATCCATGAATTTTCGTCCACGGCCAAGATGCAAGCCTGCTGTAATGAAGCGTGGTGGCCGTTGAAGTAGGTTGAACACTCTAAACGCTCTGACAGATGACGACTCGCGACCTCGATGGAAAAGATTCCTTGCCCTTGTGAGCCTCCCGGCCTTGCCTCAGTATGGTCGCGCACGGTTGATTGCTTGCACCTGCTGCGAGTCATCAGCTCGGGACCTCAGTGCAGCCAGGCAGCACCGACACCCAACGTCGCGTTGGCACGAAGCAGCCATCGGTGTACCTACCGAGTGCGTTGGACCCACTCCCGTTGACGAACACGACGAGTCAATTTGTGTCCGCATTTGTGCGGGCACTCGGCCACCAAGACAATGGCCGATGAGCCCATTGCCTAGAAAATCTCGGTCCGCAAACCAAAGCTCAAATCTGTGCAAGTCTATGAGGGTCCGGCCGCCTGTCAGCACGCATTCCCCCGAAGCCCGTGCTTGCTCCAGGCAAATGCAGACGGCAAGGAGCAGAGCTTGCTTCAGAACAAGTGTTTCAACGGCAAAAATGGTGCGACGCCTTGCGTGGGCTGGGCAGAAAAGCAGTATAGCGGGGTGTCGCAGTCGCTTCAATCCCACACGCTCACATTCGCTAGCTCACAAGAACAAGCTAGATCAAAGAACTGAAGCCCTTGCAAGTTAGAATCACGGTGCCATGAGTGATGCACTGCCCTCGCTTCTTTCAGTGCCTGACGCAACTGATGCAACTGCAAAAACCGGATCGCAAGACTTCATTCATTGTTCCTAGAACCCAAAACTCAAAGAGGCAGGAAGCTCCATAACAACCCTCTCTTTCCCCAGGCTTCCATGGTTTCGCTCCGGCTTCCATGGTTTCGCTCCCCACCGCCACACAATCTCGCAGTGAATAGATGCAAGTCACGACAACATCTCGAACAAAACATCAGACTGTTCCTGTGGGCGCACTCTGTTTGTATGGTTTTTTTAAGAGATTGAAGGGCTGAGTTTTTCAGGCGGCTTGAGAAATCGTGTGGAAGCGGGGGGGGGGGTCTTGAGTGTGAGGTCAAGCACGTGCTGGCAAGACCGTTTTGGACGGAGAGGCAAAAAGCTCGAAGTCGCAATGATGTCGAATCTCGGGGTCCAGCCTTCAATGAGCAAGCGGAGCGCAGAGCGAGCTTGGCAAAGGAGCCGAGCCCCCAACCCCAAGTAAACACTGTTGCGACGATTTCTCAGGGCTCGGACGTTTCACAGGACTCACAAGGGAGCAAGCTGCTCTTCAGCTACTGTGATGCTCGAGACTGCAGCGCCTGGATGTCTCGGAAGCGGTACGAGATTCTGCGCCGGCTAATCGAAACCTGGAACCATCTGCAGCCAGGACAGCATCTTCTCATATCTTCTCACAAGGGACGCCCTGGCCTCTGCGTTGCCACTCCAGCTGACATGCTGAGACAGCACCTGCGAGGCCGCGAGGCGCTACCACGTGGCCATGCGGCCCCCAAAACACGCCTGGCACAGAGAAATTGAGTGCCTCGTAGGGGCATCCTGCTGATTCTCTGCACGATACCTTGCTGCGTGCTGCCGCACCAGTTGCTGGAGAATCTCTTCTGTCCACTCAACCCCCCCTAGTGCAGAGCCGGGCTGCTCCGGCGCATGATTTCTGCGATTCAGCGTTTGCTTGAGAGGCGAATCGACACCCGGGATCAGGTAGTCACCACCTTGACCTTGCATGGGAAACAAAACCTGCCGTGAAACCAAGCCCTCGGATGCACTCGCCATCACCCGCATCGAATCCGAGTTTGCTATCCGGGAGCATCCGGGAGCCCTGCGAGTGGGATGCAGGTCCTCCCCCTCCCGTCGGGAAGCTGTCCTGAGGCTCACTCCGTGCACCGAATATCCCAAGGCCGCGACTTGGCGGGAGGAATCTGCTACTGAAAGTGCTCGCAACGTTCGATGATGGCGAGCCCTTCAAGCCCCACAATCACCCCTCACCTCAAAAGCCCTTGAAAAGGTACCGACGAACGTAAGAAATCTGTTAACACTTCGAACTTCTGCGAGCATGGATGCACCAGTGCAGGCTGCACCGCGCTGATCTAGTTTGGTCAGACTCGTTGGAGCTGCTTCAAACCTCAGTAGCTGCTGGAATCTGACTGAAGGCGTCCCTTTAGCCTGCACTACCCTGAACTCACACCCGTCGACGGGCTTGCCGGGACCCCGACCTGCGGTCTCAGGGCGCCCATGCAAGCCACATCTCAGCTCCAAGTCCAAGTTCGTGGTATCGAACTCTGAAGTCACAACGAACTCAATTCTTACGCTGAAGCTCCCTCACCCCCCACAAGCGCCTGCTCGGTCCTCGTGCCAGGGCTTCGGCAGCTTCGAAGCCGGGACCCTGGAGATGTCAACACAACAAGCAGCTGAGGTCTTCGCGCCCTACCTTGGTGTGTGCGCAGTGTGCGTCTGCATTGCTACCCCCTGGGTGGACGCAAATCTCGAAGTCCCGGCCTTCCAAACCAGGAACGACGCTCCTCTCTTGCCGTGCATCGGCATCGCTCCTCAAATTTCTTAGGCTGAGCTGCTTGCATGGCTTAGCTTGTCTCGAGGCCCGCGCTTGGAGGCAGGTTTGGCAGTTTGGCACCTAGTGAAACGGGTTGGCGAACTGCAGCTCTCAAAAATGCTTGAAGCAGGCCTCCTCTGCCTGGGCAGGCCTCCCCTCGGCTCCAGGCACGACGTTAAATCTCAAGCCTACCCAAGCCTTCGATCAGCGACCCGCAGCAGGAAAGTGTGGCTCTGCGGAATGAGCCGCCTTCTCGTTCATGACGCCACAACGGCACTCGAACCTCCAATCCGCCGCCGGCCTGCTGCAAATCTTCGCACCGTGCCGGTCCACACTGCGCCAAACACACCCTATGTCAGCCCTATGTGCCATGTGCCTACAAGTATAGTACCAGAGGATTGTCTGCATCCCAGGGCTCCAGATCGAGCGCTGCTGCGATCTCCTCGCCATTGGCTGACATGCCCTCCCACGTGCTAAAAAAAAGACGCCTGCTCGCTGGATGTCACAATCCCGGCCTGAAGGAAGTTCGTTGGCAAACAGCGGCCCATGAATTCCTCCAAGATTGGCCTCCAGTCCAACAGACCATGCAAAAACCTGCCCATCTGCTGGTAGCACTCGGAACCCAACAGCTGCCGAGCTAAGAACGGCGCCAATCAGAATCACACATTGAGAGTGCTCAGTCAAGGGGCTTGTCTTCAGCAAGAGTCTTCAGCAAAAAGAGAGCTACTGTTTATGGCCCCGGCAACAGCTGTCGCCATTGTCTCGGACATTGAGGCCGCAATTGAAAGCGTCTCATAGAGCCACGGCAGCCGAACACACCTGCGCAAGCGAAGTAAGCATGGACCCTCGTGATGCACATGTGGCGTCGACTTCCATGGTCCTGCCTCCCTGCACGCAACGTGACTCAAGGAGATTCACAGCGCGCTAGGAGGGTGAGCAGCACCGTTGCACTTCCCTACTCACTCTACTCTGACTCTTCTTGGCTGCTGATGGCAACTACGTTTTGGCTCAAGCGCCTTTGGAGAAGGAGCCGCTTGAGGGCTTATAGAGTCTGTAGTGTACTGTAGTGTTGCTGACAAAGAAGCTTCAACTGGGGCAGCCAAAGCAAGAATTGCAGTGGCCTGCAGCTCTTCACACCACGAGCTCAGCTTCCGCAACTTCAGGCGTGGCGCAGCACCCAGCGCATACTCCGGTGATCGCCTTGGCTCGCAAGATGCACCCGCAATCCTCTGGAGTATGCATGGGGTCGCGGGGAAGGCAAGACGGCCGAAATCGTCGCATCCTCGCTTCCTTGACTCCCCCGCCTCCCAAAGATCCTTCACCTGCTTACGCTGCTCGGCCGCCTGGCGGGATGGAGGCTGGAGGGGTCTCTGCTCACCGCTCTCGTTGCTCACGAAGTCATGCATGCCCGCTGCTGCCTTGCGGTGCACATGCTCAACCATTTCCGGAATATCGTCCAACCAGAACATGTCAGCCTGCCGATCCCGTGACTTCGCGTCGAAGGATATATACTTGTGTCAGCTCGCCTGTCAAACATGTCGTAGAGCGCAGATGCGTGCACATGCATTCTGTTATGTGCCGTCTATATGCATTCGGAAGGGCATGCATTGGGCTGGGGGCTGGGATGGGTTTGGAACTCAATAAAACCGAGGCAATTACGACGGGGTCAAATGAAAGGTTATAAATTCTAGAATTGCATTGAAGGCATACGGAGTGATATCAGTGGCGTGCAGCCACGACACACCTACATGTCGTTTCCCTGTTAAACTATGTCTGGGACACCTGATATGTAACGAGAAAACCCATGGTTCCAGCTGGCGATTATACCCGGTTTAAGCCGGCCACGGGGTACCCCGCCATTTTGGGAAGACATGGCACCAAAGGGAGTCTCAGACCTTCCGCTGCCAGTCGCACTGGTTGCCATGTACAGCACGTAATCCTGCACCACATGACGTGGCCATTTTCAAGTAGGGTAAGGACGCCTGAGACAAAAGCCGCTAGAGGTTGCCCACACACAGCACGTCTTGTTACAGAGCAAGGTCGGGGGGGGGTTCTGTGGGTGGGTTCTGCGGAAGTGCTTGGGGGTTCTGCCATACACAGGGTATGATGGTGACCTCGGAGAGAAAAACAGGGCGTGACATACATTGGGTGGCCATGTCATGATGACCTCGACAGGGCATTGCATGCACACGGCATGCATGACATGACCTCTGAGACAAAAAACGACCTAGGAGAAAAGAACAGGGCGCGACATACGGGTGGCCATGTCAAGATGATGACATCGAGAAACACACAGGGCGTAACATACACAGGGTGGCCATGCCATGATGACCTCGGAGAAAACACAGGGCGTGACACACACACAGAGGGTGGCCATGTCATGATGACCTCGGAGTAAAACGTGACATACACGGGGTGGCCATGTCATGATGATGATGATGTCGGAGAAAACACAGCGCGTGACATACACAGGGTGGGCATGTCATGATGATGACCTCGGAGAAAAACACAGAGCATGACATACACAGGGTGGCCATGTGACGATGATTTCGGGGAAAAACACAGGGCGCGACATACATGTCATGATGTCCTCGGGGAACAACATTGGGCGTGACATCACAGGGTGGCCATGTCATGATGACCTCGGAGACAAACACAGGGCGTGACATACACAGGGCGGCCATGTCATGATGACCTCGGAGACAAACACGGGCGTGACATACACAGGGTGGCCATGTCGTGATGACCTCGAAGAAAACATAAGAAAACCACAAGAGGGTGACATACACAGCGTGGCCATGTCATGACGATGACCTCGGAGAAAAACACAGAGCATGACATACACAGGGTGGCCATGTGACGATGATTTCGGGGAAAAACACAGGGCGTGACATACACAGGGCGGCCATGTCATGATGACCTCGAAGAAAACATCTAGAGGGTGGGTGACATACACAGCGTGGCCATGTCATGACGATGACCTCGGAGAAAAACATAGGACATAGGGCGTGACATACACAGGGTGGCCATGTGACGATGACCTCGGAGAAAAACACAAGGTGTGACATACACAGGGTGGCCATGTCATGATGACCTAACCTTGAACCTCAAACGCCGACTTCTGCACGTCGCAAAAAATTATTGGAAACGTAGCTGCAACACAAAACCTGAAAGCTATAACTTAAGGAGACCACCTCGAACCAATGGCTCTGAAACACTTGGTGCAAGTCTGCTTCGAGGCCTGACAGCAGCATGAGCACCTGGGGAACACACCAAATCAAGCACGGTCTGGACCTGCTAATGATGCAAACACGCGGATCTCCCAACTGCTGAGGTGACAGAAGCTGCTTTTTTATCGCAGCATTGCCGACTCTACCCACTACCGAATTGTCAATGTTGGAATGTGCGCTTGCAAAGGCCAATTTGTGATTGCACGGGCGGCCCGCACACATAAGCGCAAGGCACTGCGTAGTATTCAAGAGATCCATTGCGCGTATTCTTCAGTTTTACGTTCCATGTGTCTAAAGAAGGACTTGGGAAGACAGGCAAAACAACTTGGCTTGACGAACACGAAGGAGCATTTCAACAGCGTTGTAAACGCCAGTGATTTTGCGACGTGCGCGACAAGCAATGTCCACGGCCTTCTGCTTACTCATGTTGGCACGTATGCTGTGTTTGCAACGGAAACTTTCGGGCGTGAACTCTATCTGAAACCAGGCCCAAGAGTAAGTCCAAGCACACATCCACAGTCTCAACATCCAAATCCGTGGACCGTATTCGCACTCCAAGCTTTAAGGTTAGATGGGGTTTATTCAGTACATTGAGAAGCGCGGTGGCATTCCCGAACGTATCAAACTCTAAGCCCTATAACCCCCTCCATTTGGGTCACACAATCCTAATTAGCCCTCAAAGAATGCAGACCCCAGCCGATATTGACCCGGGGCATGCGCTCACATCTGCGAGGTGCTTCCTGAGCTGCCAGTGTTCATACCGTCTCAGGCTTAGGATGATAACTCTACTGATGCACCACTCTGCATTGCTTCAGACATGTTCTGTGATGGTCTGCAGTTTAGGTGCCGGAGACGGTCCGCGACAAGGCCGGATTCGGCATCGGCTGCTCGGGTGGCATGGGACCGAAGGCTGTGTGCCCTTCTTTGCAGGCGAACGCGCACAACCAGTTGGGGATTTCTTGCCTATATGCCACGTGGGCACACAGGAGACTCAAAGGTCGCAAGTATGTACCAAGGCGTTTGTGCAATACTGAATAACGAATCGTTGATTCAAACATGTCCCTCGTGGTCGGCAGGACTTGCCTTGGCATGTTCTTTTAGTCATGCGTAGTTAAGCACTGTGCAGTGACTGGCTGCCGCTCAACCACCGCAGCTGAGACAACTAAAACTGCGATACAGGACAATCTCGACAGCAATTACACAGGACAGATGCCGGGATTCCAGCTGGACACGCACCTTTAGCCTTGTAGTCTGTGTTCCCGCGCAAAAGGCGTGAAAGCAGCTCCCTTCGGTTTTTTTGGTCGACTGCAAGTCACATGTGATTCCCCAGAAAAAAGAGGTCGTTCTCCGACCTTCTGGCCCAAGATCTCGCAAAAGGCACCAGCAACCCTGTGCAGTGAAGCACCAGGGAACTCTCAGCCCACGGACTTGCAACAAACCTGAAAACTGACATCTCTCATTGCTTGCTGGATGCCACGCGGGATTGGAAACGTAAACTCGGGCTTCAGGCCAGCCATCTGAGTCTCGAAAGAACGCGCTACTACTAGTCCACTGAGGCATCAAGTAGCAGTTAACGACGGCAAGTTTACAACAGAGCCCTTCCTGAAGACCTCACACTGGTTAGATCTCTGCCAAACCCCAGCAGAGAACATGACCAGCGCCATGCGGATTCAAAGAGTCACGGCAAAACATTGCGCTTCTTGCTGCGTCGCGACGCCGATTTTGCTGCCTCAAGGCAAAAATGGGCCAAGGTTGGACAACCTGGAGCGACGACATGTCGAGCAGATATATGTCTGGTGCTACCTCAAAGATACAGATAGATGGAAACATGAGCTAGTTTTGCCGGCACATGGTCCTTGCGCATGCACGCAGAACGCTGCGCAGGTGGGTAATTAGGGACCAGGCCGGCGGTGAGCGGCTACGCTTGGGTGATCCCGGCCTCAGCCGACCAAAGTCTCTCCAATTCAACTGGGATCTCCAGTGACGAACACATCGCAAACATCAGTCGGAATCACTCCGATTGCCGCACGTGCTGGAACAATGGCTCTACGCAATTTGACCTGGCACTCTTGCATGACTCCGGCCAAGTCCCACTCCCATGCTCCAAGTCGGCAAGCAAGCCCACCTGAACCAAACCGATGACAAGAGTTCTCCCTGTTTTGAAAGTCATGTCGCAAGCCGCTCCTGCACGGTCGCCAAAAAGTGTGCCCAAGGATAGTGCAATCAACCCAATTCTGCTTGTCGGCACGATCCCTGAACTCAAGTGTCGTGAGGCCAGTGCCACATCGGATGTGAACTTCATGCTCTCTTTAAACACCTGCACATCACGATCGAAAAGTCATAGTCTTGGCAAGCACGGAAAAATTTGTCGCAACTTCTAGCGCTCCTCTTGCGATGAGAGCAACAAGCGTCCCCATGTACACTGTGGCTTTTTCGGGCTCGTAAACTCATATATTACGTCAAGGGGTCGTAGGGCCAACTGGGTCAACGCAGTGCCGATGCGATGAAATCCATCCAAATGCTATGTCTAAACGCCAACTTCGCAAGTGGAAGATAGCACAAGCAAGATATCAGAACACAATTACCCTGTGACTATGTCGGATCTGTGGAAACCTGGCAATCAGCAAACCAAGGTCTGCGCAGGCTTAGACAGGTAGAGACAACATGGCCGGCACCTGCAACGCCGGCTTCCCACGCAGCTTCACAAGCTCAATGATCCGGGCAGCCATCTTCATGTCCAGGCTGCAAACGGTTTCCCAGATTTCGGGGTCACAAAGCTCCTCACTCCATCCAGCGCGAATCAATACTCTCCCTAACATTCTGTTGGTCCTCTGCGTGGAATCTGAAAGTTTCCATGAGGTCAGCCTGCTGCAGCACAACTTCGGTGAGGTCCTTCTCATCCTGCTCGTTGGATTTATGCAGAATCCCCAGTCGGGATCAGTCGGGTACTTGAGTAGGACAGTAGGACTTGTCACGGCTCCAACACGCCTCACGCAGCCCTAGATTCCTTCAGTTTTTCTGGACAGCAGTCCTCAGCAGCCTTGGCCAAGATTTGTTCCAAGGCTTGCATGCCTTTCTCCGCTTTTGGTAGTCGGCTGAGCGCAGCATCGAGCCTTCGGGGCCCAAAACTGTGCTGTTTGCAAAGGCCCTTGACATCCTCGACGGCTGTAGCCTGTTGACACCATCGCCCCGAACGCCAGCATGATCGCACAGGGCTCTCAGTCGTGGACAGACCTTTTGGCATCTCCAAGAACCCAGCGAAGGCCGTTCACTACGTCACTACGTCCACGCACGGTCACACATGAAACAGAGGCCTGCCTCTGGAGCATTTCCTGCCCTCAAGCCAACCGAAAGCTTCCACATGGCATATATGCCAGAAGTACTCAGCCTTCGGGGCCCAAAACTGTGCTGTTTGCAAAGGCCCTTGACATCCTCGACGGCTGTAGCCTGTTGACAACATCGCCCCGAACGCCAGCATGATCGCACAGGGCTCTCAGTCGTGGACAGACCTTTTGGCATCTCCAAGAACCCAGCGAAGGCCGTTCACTACGTCACTACGTCCACGCACGGTCACACATGAAACAGAGGCCTGCCTCTGGAGCATTTCCTGCCCTCAAGCCAACCGAAAGCTTCCACATGGCATATATGCCAGAAGTACTCAGAGGTCATTTGAGTTTAGGCTTCAAACTGGCCTCACGGCTTCAACAAGACTTCCTGTATAAGGGGTCCAAATCACCAATTTACTTAAACTGGTGCCCGTACTCTATCTCGGATCACTGTGAAATAGAGTACGGCACCAGTTTAAGTAAATTGAGTAAATTGGTGACGTGGACCCCTTATACGAAATAACACAGCCTAAAGTGATGGTAATACTGCAAACCCTTATAGGGTTTGGCATCCTGAGGCCAGCGGCTGACCCATGACGATTCCTCATGGTTAAATATCCCGAGTCCCCTCGGCTTCAAATACCGTCCCAGTATTGGGGAATCGTATTTGAAGCCCTATTGAAGCCGGCTTCAAACTGGCATCAAATACCGTCCCAGTATTGGGGAAGCTATTGAAGCTGCTTCAGGGGAGTATTTGTCTTCAAAATACACTTCCCCAATACTGTGAAATAGAGTACGGCACCAGTTTAAGTAAATTGGTGACGTGGGCTTCAAACACAGTCCCAGTATGGGGGAATCGTATTGTGGAGCCCGGCCTCAAAAACCGCCCCAGTATTGGGGCAGGTTTTGCTTTGAGGCCGCTGGTGGCATCCCGAGGCCGGTGGCTGACCCAAGACGAGACCTCATGGTTACTCGTCTATTTAGAATTTTAAATACCCCGAGTCCCCTCGGCTTCAAATACCGTCCCAGTATTGGGGAATCGTATTTGAAGCCCTATTGAAGCCGGCTTCAAACTGGCATCAAATACCGTCCCAGTATTGGGGAAGCTATTGAAGCTTGCTTCAGGGGAGTATTTGTCTTCCAAATACACTTCCCCAATACTGGGAAATAGAGTACGGCACCAGTTTAAGTAAATTGGTGACGTGGGCTTCAAACACAGTCCCAGTATGGGGGAATCGTATTGTGGAGCCCGGCCTCAAAAACCGCCCCAGTATTGGGGCAGGTTTTGCTTTGAGGCCAGTTTGAAGCCGGCTTCAACAAGACTTCCTGTATAAGGGGTCCAAATCGCCAATTTACTTGAACTGGTGCCCGTACTCTATCTCACACTCTTGTGCAAAGCGACGGCATTCAGGGACTTGGGGCAGGCCACGAACTCGAGTCGTTTTTCTTGAAGCGATGGTGTTCGGGGACTGAGTCGCTTTTCTTGAAGCGATGGTGTTCGGGGACTTGCGGGCAGGTCGCGAACTAAAATTCTGCTGGTGGCATCCCGAGGCCGGTGGCTGACCCAAGACGAGTCCTCATGGTGAGTCCCCTCGGCTTCAAATACCGTCCCAGTATTGGGGAATCGTATTTGAAGCCCTATTGAAGCCGGCTTCAAACTGGCATCAAATACCGTCCCAGTATTGGGGAAGCTATTGAAGCTTGCTTCATGGGAGTATTTGTCTTCCAAATACACTTCCCCAATACTGTGAAATAGAGTACGGCACCAGTTTAAGTAAATTGGTGACGTGGGCTTCAAACACAGTCCCAG